GTAAAATTTCTTGACAGACATTCACAATGAAGAGAAAGAAAGTGCTAAGTTTCTGGTTTCTAAAATTGAATAGGAACTATCTTAAAACTTATTCACTGCTTTTTAGAAGTTTCCTGGTGGCTATTATTGTGCTAATTGCCAGCCCTTGGGATGAACCTGGAAGATCCTCCCCTAATACTCCAGGCCTGGAGGAGACCCTGGCTCAGGAGAGATGGTTATCAAGAAACTTGCTAAAGGCTGTCAGGGAGGTTTGAATTAAGGGCTGGAGGAAATATTAAATCTGATGAGGAAATACCATAGTATAAATTTATTTTTTCAGATGTTAAGAGAGATGAGGACAATTTTTTTTAAAAAAAGTCATACATTTGAATGTTTTAAAAATTATTTTGCTACTACTAAATGAATGCAGAATCTTTGTACATACACATACACACACTCAATTACTATAAATTAGTAATTAATAAAGTTTTTACTACCCAACTATGGGATTTTCTACACTCCTCTCACTGCACTAAAATTGGGGGCAGGGGGAGAGGCAGCAGAAATTATATAACTATGTTGTCAAAATTAAAATATTTTAAAGGATGCATTTTGCGGATGCATTTTGCATTTCCCTCTATGTCTAACTATCTGAAAAGTTTCAAAACTCTCTTGGTCAGAGTACATCTTCCATTAATTTCAATTTTAAAAAATGAAGAAAAAAAAAAAACCCAAACAGCTCTTTGGTTTACTCTTAAAATATATATCTACTTGGCTTTCAACAGCATTGATCTCTATYAAAGTGGCTGTTGCCCTAATAGATTTAACTGATAAGCAATTTTGTAGTCTGCTAAGGAAAGCCATTCATTGGGGAATGAGTCCATTTACTTTGTGGTTTTAATTAAAGGTGTCTAATGCTGCAGTACCTGTTGCGTTTTCATTTTCTCAAACATCACAAATCAATATCTTTCTATTTTTCTTCATCTAGGATCTGGTTTATATTATTTTTCATTGTTGTTAATTAGAATCAGTCTGGATTACAAAGAACAATTTTAAGCACTGAACAAATTTTCCACAGGTCTCTCTGTGCACCCCTCCTTCCCTCCCTCCCTCCCAAATCTCTCCCTCTCTTCTTCTCCCTCTCTCCCTCTCTCCCTCTCTCTCTCTCCTTCTCGCCTTAAATTTGCCTTTTGCAGACATTTGTGAGACTTGTTTCCCTGGACTTCCCACTCCCTCATAGCCTACATGTGGTGCTTATAGTGTGAGCTATTTCTAGTCTAAGTAAATGCTGAGGATGATTAATGACCCTGTGGGAAAGCTAAACACACAGCACTTTGTGGACAGAAGACCAGATCAAACTGGTCCTGATTCTACTGCCATCCCTGGCCTCTTTGCTCAGGACTCCTCCCTAGACCCTTCTTATTAATGGTATGAAGTCTTCACTCTTTCAGTGTATGAATGTGTTGAAGTGTAATCAGAGCACTGACCTGAGAAAGGGGGAGATTCGTTTTAAAGTCAAGGTTGTACATTGTTTCTGATTTCATTTTGTTAGATGCATCTAATTATCACAGCCTAAGAATTTTTATCCTAATTTTCTCAGCTAGTGCATTAGATATTCTTTATAGTCTTGTTTGTGTTTGATTAAGTATTAGCCAGTTATGTTCTCTTTCAAGTGTTTGATAATAATAATAAATAGACTAATGCTAAAGGCTAAGCTCTGTGGCCTTATGCTGGAAGGCCCCTTCTGGGTTGGTAACAATGCATTAATCAAACCTTTCAATACAGAGGATAGGCTTGTCATAAAGTGACATTCTATGTTATTATCCATCTCTCATTTCTGCATCTTGCCCATACGTGGGGGGTGAGAGATTAGCCCAATTCTTTATTAAAATGTAGACAAACTAAGAATTGCAGCATTTCTTTTACTATTGTTCTGCTCTTTGGGCTTTTCACTGGAAATATGTAGAAATTCTTCAYTGAAAACATCATTAGAATTTCACTGGTAATTTGAAAACACTGATTTGTAGGTTTTTTTTTTTCTCTTCTGTATTTAAAATACTGGGGCTGTGTGTGTCCCCATGTTGTCATATCAAGTTACTTTTTATTATCCTCACTATTAGCAAATAGCTCCTTAGATCATTCTGCAAATTATTCAACAAATAGTTTTAAGTTCCAGAGAAGGACCAGATACTTCTGCAAGGCTTGTCCATATTTTAGGATGTTACTTGTTTGGATTAGGAGATTGGCATTAATTCAGGCCTCAACCATTGGCTGAGATTGATTGATAAATCATGCTAGAATGTAATTTTAACCACAGAAATGAATGTGTGTCCTTTCCCCAACCTTTACTTCTTTGGTCAAGAGTCAGTTATGAGCTAGGCTGCCCAAACTCAATGTACACTCCCACCCCAACTATCGATCTCCTTTCAGAATCTGTCTCTATTATAACAATTTTGAGAGGCAGGGTCAGCAGGAATATTGTTTTGAAGAACAGGTCACATATTTCATTAGGGCAACATGTGATTGTCTTCTGACCTCTCTTCTCTTTACCTTGATTTTCAGTGTTTTGACAGAGCTCCTGCATGCCTGTTCTCAAACAGAGGACAGAATATAATCACTTTTTGCATGACAGTTTTGTAGTTTCTTATCTTAATCAAAAAGTGACACATACGTTGACAAGTGCTCATACAACTGTGTTATTTTCTTTGGTGAATGTAATATGACTCTTCTTTTGAAAAGACCCATTCAATGAATTATCTTGGTTTAAGCTTCAAAGGTATTTTTTTTTAATAAAACTTGCCTCTATGTTAAACATTGAATGTGTGTTTTATTGAATCACTTTCTTTATATACTTGAGTAGAAATCTGTTTTCCAGTTAGTAAAATGGAAATGCTGACACTAGTATGTAGGAATGTAAGGAAAAAACTCTTAAGGTATGGGGTCAGTTAGACAAGATTTAGAAAAACTTTGTTTCTAAAGAAATCTCTCTTCTTGTCTAGAAAGGCAATAACCATTTGGCAGTAGGATTGCACCTTCAAATTTTTAGAGGGTACGAGCCTTATACACACAATTTCTTAAAATTTAGAGATTGTAAAAATCTGGGTATGCATTTAAATGGCACTGTTGAATAGTTTCATGCTGTATACCTTTTCAAGGAGCAATATTGAACTCATTGGTGCCCATACCTAAAAGACACAGTATCTGTTTGAAAGTAGGCATTCCCTTCTTCCTCTGTATTTCCACATTAAGTAAAACCCAACCCCAAATCAAACCAGATCTGCAGAGACTGGAAGAATGAATGTATCAATTTTCTTCCCAACAGAATTGTTTTATAAGATCAATTTACACTGGGAGCCACTTGCCACATTTATTGCTAGAAAGATTAGAGCCAATTTATGGCTCTCTAATAAGAAGTATATAAATGTTTACGGTAAACATTTGAACTTTATTCCTAGTTCTAGTTGATATCTTTATTCTCATTTTTCCTCTCAATTTTATACTTATGTAATTTCCTTGTGGTTAATGAATTCTTTTAGCAGTCAGTAGTTTTTCTATATTGGAGTCAAATAAATAATCAAATAAAAACATCTGTAGAAAAAAGGGTTGTGAATTTAGTTTGTTTTCAACTTCTGTGGTCAAAAATAATATTTCTTATTGGGTGTGGTGGGACATGCCTGTAATCCCAGTGATTTGGGAGGCTGAGGCATGAGGATTGCAAATTCAAAACCAGCCTCAGCAATGGTGAGGCGCTAAGCAACTCAGTGAGATCCTGTCTATAAATAAAATAAAAAAAATAGGGACGGGGTTGTGTCTCTGTGGTCAAGTGCCCCTGAATTCAATCCCTGGCACACACACTCAAATAATAATCATCATCATCATCATCATCATCATCATCATCATCATCCTACTGTCTTAAATAAAATATCCTGGTAAATGCTTTTAGTAGACATAAACAAATTCATGTTTAAATTACTTATGGATATCATCAAACTTTATATGTGTTGCCTTAAGCAGAATCTTATGCTCTTGTCCATTGAATAATTTAGTATGTTGAYGTTTTTAATTAAGACATACTATCTTATATTAACAAATGATTAAAAATTTCGTCATGTAATATTTAATTAAATATTTAATATATTTTAGAGTTTAAATCAACTTTTATGTATATCATCCCATTTGTAAAATTATTTTACAAAGTTTTATATACATTGTAAAACTTAATRTACATTACCCAATTTTAGATTGGTTAATATATTACCCCATTTTAGAGGACAAGTTCAGTTATGAATTGAGTTGTTAAAAAGAAAAGACATGGGCTGGGATTGTGGCTTAGCGGTAGATCGCTC